AGAACTTGAACACACCGTCAAACCCAAATCCATTCTGATCCATCACAGCATCAGTCTTTGTTCAGTTCATCAATTGCTTCATTTATAAATGTTTTTAAAAATTGTACAATGCCTCAATCTGTATTATCAGTACAGGCTGCATCATTCCAATCCAGTAAATTACATATTTGTGATACCTCCTGCATAAGTACTATAAAAACAGCCTTGCTAAATATTTCACTCAGCAGAAGAACATGTTAGTCTTTCATTTAACATTTCTGAATGGAATTGAAATAAATCTCTGTTTTATGAGATTTTCTACATGGTTCCTCAGTCTAGAAAGCACACTGGTATAAGAACACAGGTCCAGACGCATGAATGTACTGAAGTATGTCACTAAACTCTATACTGCATGGACCTTTGCAAAGAAGGATGATGTTTTCACATGAGCTATGAGCCTAGATCTCCTTAAAATAAATTTCTTAAACATGTAGGCTACTGAGTTTCACTGAAAGTCAATCAACTGAAGCATCTAAATACTCATATGAGCAAAGTTTCTTGCACAGGTAAGCATTGGCAAAATGCACATCTTTGAGCTACATAAACAGGCCTTGTCCGAATAAATCATTTACAGTTTGTATAGGAACTGTTATCTGTTTGTTATTTATTTATTTAGAACAGACTCATTCACATGTAAAGAATCAGCAGCAACTCCTTTGAATCCCTTACAGCACAGATTTCTAAATCTAGCTCTGAAAACAAAAATTGAAGAAACTTACAGGCTCTTCTGGCCCACATTCTTGTCTCTTAAATATGGATACAGTTCCCTTACACAACCCTAGGAGCTTTTGCTGTTCGTTTTTCCCCACATAATTATTGTTATTTATTTCTAACTTCGAAGTCAAGGTGTCTTAAAACCGACAGTATCTACAAGTATTAAACTCTTTCACATTAAAAACCACATCCTAAATCTCTTTACAAGCAGGGGAAGATCAGCATAAATTACAATATCAAAAACACATTTAGAACTTGACCTTGCAGACTGAAGTCAAGGGAGCCTTCTGGTACCCTGGCATTTGTCTTTTCAGGTCCATCTGTTAAAGTGGCATTAGGCCACTGCTCGCAAAGTGTGGGGCACGTTTCAGCAGTGCACAGGAATGAAGCACAGGACAGGCAGCAGCCCATCAGAACAGCAACTTGAGCTACACACAGCCAGGAGAAACCACACAATGGCTCTCCATTTGCAAATGAATATTAAGCAAGTAGTATTATAAAAATAAACAGGTAGAGTAGGAAGACGGCTGTGGGATTGGATCACAGATATACACAGCTCCATTTCCAGACCATGAGATCAAATCCTGTTCATATCAGTAAGAGCCAGAAGAAGTGAAAATTCTAAATCCTGATTCTTATCCTCAGGCTTTCTGTATGGTTTCATGCAAAATATCTACCTGCTTCTGTCCTTGTATCTTCTTTCTGCTGAACTAAAGGAATACTACTTAGAAGTTTTGTAAAACACTTTACACAAGCAAGGATGAAACACATGGATATAGGCATGATCCATCATTCTCTGAACTCAGTGAAAAGCTTCTCATTGATACAGCGTATTTTGAATTAAGCCCTGGAGGAATAGTTGTATGGCATGTGGTAAGCACAGACAAAAATCCTAGTGTCTTTCAAATAGCTAAATATGTGCTAAAGTTTACTTAAGTTTGTGGAGTTACATATGTCTACACAGAAATTTGGAAGCATGGAATCAGATGGGCATCTTTGAACTGGCAAGCCTTGAAGTCATGAAAACAGTAGCTTAGTGGAAAGTCTATGTGAAAGTTCTCACTATGCTGACAAAAACATTTTTCACCAGAGCTAATGGGAAATGTGTAATTTTTCATGAAGACTCCTTTCTACTGGAGAAACCCAAGGAAGAACACTTATCTCTGTTGCCTTAACAACATCTCCTGAAATACACAAGTATTAAAGTATTTGGTATGCTCCAGAAAGATGCAATATTTATTTCATATGGGATATCTATCACATTTATTGTGTTAGTAGGCACTCATCTATCATCTGTGACTATTTTTTACAAAGTTATGTGCTAAACAATACATGAGAAATAGCTGAGCTGAATTAAATGTATATTATTTTTCTTGCATATTTTCATGGGTGCTGAAAATTGTTAGAAGAAAGAGCATTCGTCCATGATAGTCAGATATTAGCAAAATAAGCACTGTTTTTCTTGTAATGCATTTCTTAACTAAGCAGTGGGATCACCTCTACAGAATGGGTGGAGGGAGTCCATCCTCTCAAGGCTTGAATCTCAAGGTTTAAACTCAAACCTTGACCTTTCTGACAGGGTTTGCTGAGGGTGCCTACCAGGGGTACAGCAGAGCTGCTTCCGAGATGAAGACTCTTAGGTCCACATCAGGAATGGTTGTCTTTCTTGCTGGCTGTAGAAGACTCCCTTGCTCACTGTAGAAGACTGAAGACTGATTTTTTTAGAGGCACTAGGCCATACTGAGGGACAAAAATGAGCAGAAGCTTCAAGCCTGCAATGTTGCAAAGAATCTCAATTTCTCTTTAACTAATAAAAAAAATTAATCATGGACTGGAAAAATAGATACCACCAGCCTCTGTGAACCCAAAGCTAAGTTTTATCCATTCACTTCCATTCAATTTTTTAGTTTGTCTATAGACTATCCCAGATGTAATAAGAAAAAGCAGAAAATAAAGGAGCACTACAACAGGACGCTGCTAGTGCTTCTGTGCCATTTTCTTTGCACACGATGTACTATATACTTCCCTCCAATCTCTTTTAATCATTTCTTTGGGTGAAGATGATGAAATAATATACTGTGCTCCTGATACAACAAATTATTTTATTGACAAACAAAAGATCTTGATTAGTGAACTTACTGCTGTCATTTTTATTAACAAGGTAAGACACAGAGCTTTGGGGTTTTTTTCCACTGGATGTTACTAGGTATAACTTGGGCTGGTCAGTGATGCCATAACCTCTACCTAGACAGCTCCTATAAATGTGCTACATCACACCAAGAACGTGGTTTACTTCCCAAGAGATGCTGCAGGACAAGAGACAACCCTCATGATATAAACCATCAGAAATACCCAAATTTGCCAGAGGAAACAAGGAGGGAAGGCAGTAATTATCCTGTGAGAACCTCAAGCTTCACCTAAATTAAAACTTCAGGTGTCCTGAAAGGCTGTGGGTGAGCTCCTGCAGAGGACAAGGAGCGTGTCAGCAGCCCTGCCTCCAGCAGCTCTGCAGCCCACCCGGCCCCGTGCATCCTGTGAATTATCAGCCCTGTGACTGCTTCCAACCTCCCGTTCCTGTTGTTATCAGAGGACTTAGGTCGTGCTCTGAGCCCCTCTTTTAGATTACCTCTTCTGCCCAAAGGGGACGCACGACTCTCTCAACCTAAGTTTCAACTTATTAGCTCCTTTAGTCTAATTTAGAGGCCTCAGTGCCGCCCCTCTGGAACTGCGCATCTCTCGCAGTGTATAACATTTCCAGGATGAGCCATGCAACTAGCTCTGATCACTGAATGCTTGTTGCTCACCTTACCTTCAAACCTTTTCAGGCACCACTTAATGACAAAAAAGAGCTCAAAAGTCTCTCCTGCATCTGCATTCCCAAATATTACCAGGAGAACTCCATTCACGGAGCGTGGCCGGCCTCCCTGACTAGACTACTCATTTTTTTTGGTGCAAGGTTCTAAGGACTTGTCCAATCTACATCTTTCAGACTGCAGTTACCCTTCAAGAGTTGCACTATATGAGTAATTCAACTTCTACAGTTTTAGAGTTTGGTCTTGTTACATATTGAAAACTGCTGCCCTCTACTGTATTATCATGGGTTGTGCCTCTGATAATCAATGAGAGCCACCAATATTCAGCCAAAATGTCTAGTCTTACCCAGAATTTAGCATGCTTAATATTTCCCTGTATTGATAAGATTATTCAAAGGGTCTGCTTCTAATTCATCAGCATACTCTGACCCTGCAGGGGTGAGGTCAAATGGAAAAATCTTTATCTTTTTTACCCAATTTTGACTCTTAGAAAAGATGGATCCTTGCCAAGAGGTTAGACAAGTTTCATTGCTTCAGCAAAATGTTGTCTCTCCTTCTGATAATTAACAGCCACCAGAAGAGTAAGAATTATGGATTGAGAAACTAATGTTGGGGCCAAAACAACTGCATCAAGATTCTGCTGAGGACGCGTCTCTGATATAACCTGAACTTCAGCTTAGATTACAACAGACATTTAAGTCCTAGTTCAATTGACATAATCTTTCCTTAGTCTCAGCATATTCAGTTCTGAAAGAATACAGCTCATGATCCTCTGAAGAAGCTAGGTTTCTTCCTTACTGATGCTAGGAAGAGTAAAAGGAGTGCAACCTTGCTACATTCACATCCACTACACAAAAGGCTGCAAACAGGAATAGCTTATTTCTTCCCAGCTCTCCACAGACTCCATGCCTCTGAACAGGCTGCATTGCTTGTAGGTTAGAGCACCTGTGATGTGCATCTAAAACAATTTTAGATTTATTTTATGTTTCCCAATCTCACAAATTCAATTACTTCTCTTTTGCAGTGCTTCCTGCATTCGCATACAACTGTGGTGTTACCAATACATAGCACTAAATCGAAAAACTCACCGGTAGGCAGGAATAGGTAAGCAGATGGTAGCAGACCACTAAATTAAAGCCAGAGACACATCCTTCCTAACTCAAGAGAAAATTCAGACTGTTCTTACTAATTATCTATGCTGGTCTCCAAAGCAAGATTTTCAGAAGAGACAGACTAAGAGCCTAATTAAAAAACTGTACTCCCTTCCAGTAGACGGAGTGACAAATGCACCAGGTGTCCACATACAATCCAAGTCCCTCATTTGGTGGCTGCTATCCTGGTTAATATTCTGAATAGTGAACAAGAGAAACCTCCAGAACTAAAATCACAAGCTGTTAACACCCATTCTTAAATTCTAGTTTACAAAACACCTACCTCTAGGACTTTCCCAGTAATGAACTGGTGACATGCCTCGCATTTGACTCCAAAAAGAACTTGATAGTCCTTTTCACAATAAGGAGCACCATCTCTGAAAAAAGAAAATCCAGAAATTACAAATCACCTTTTAACAAACAGGTTGCAGCATGACTTACACTATTCCCTTGTCTTCAGTCTGGAATTTCTACACACAGCAATAGGCAAATGGGAGAGAATTCAAGGGATATAAGACAAAAAACAATATTCTCATTAGTGCGTCGTGTGAAGAAAATGTATCCAATACAAACCACTGAAGTAAATCTCATTCTTTAGAATAGACTCTCTACACCTACAGGTGGTGCAATTCTAGGGAATCAGTGGAACTATGTCCATGGGGATGAGAGGAGATCACAGTCTTTGTTGCAGGCAGGTAGCTTTTGTTCACTTCAGTAGAAAAGTATTTGGTAGTCTGCAAGAGTATAAGCAGTTAGTTTTAAGTGTAAGGTTACCTAGTTTTTTAGCATGTAAAAGTAACATACAGTAAAAGTGGGAACAGCTTAGTAGTATTTCTCAGACACTGAATTTCTGAGAAAATACAGATGCTACTTTTTATTAAATATTATGTATACCTTAATAACAAGTGTGTGAAACACACATTGTTTCCTCATTTTTTCTCTGTAATATACTTGAAAGGGGGAACAGAGACTTTATCTTCATTCCCTCTATTTTATCATTACACTGGTTTTCACACAAGTTCCCCATGCTCTTCCTTTATGCTTCCTTCTGCAGAAAACCCTCTTCACAGTTTCTCATATGGAGATGAGAAACACAGTGTCAGGTCAATCACATCATCATGTTTACTCTATTCCCTAGCAAAGGCAACCAACGGACAGGTTCCTACTTTCTTTCCTCAAAATCATATGTTGGAAAGAGAACAGTACAAGACTGTCTAACACAGAAAACACAGGAATTCATCTAACCCTTGGTGTGAACATGGAGATATACTTACCGCCTTTCACACAGGCATTGAATAAAACTACTATTAATAAACACCACCTTTCAGTTGCACTTTTCAGTTTGCCTTACCAACTTAGCTCTCACTGAGAACAAAGATTTTTGGTGCCTAGGGAAAGGTGGTCAGAACTGGATTTCAAAAGGTGAACTTTGCTGCAAGCTCTTCTCCATTTCCAACATGAACTCACACCAGAGCGCAGAAGGGATGCAGCGGTTACTTACTTGCTGATGTATTCCCCAGTTAGGACCTTCCCGCAAGCCTTGCACTTAAAGCACCCCAGGTGCCACTGCTTATCCAGAGCTAGCAACGCTTGTCCATTTTTTATGTCTCTTCCACAGCCAGCACAATCTGCAAATAAACAAACAAATGCATTCGTTGTCAGTTACTTGGTTCGTTAATCCTCATTAACCACCCATCCAGCGCAACACTTGGTAACCAAAGGGAAGAATTACACAGCGGTACAAAGGTCCATCTTTCTTCCCCCAAACACTTCCCAGGTCCTGTGCAAAGACTCAATTTTCAGCACTATAGACATCTTGGTAGAAGAGGGAAAGTACTACTTCTGGTTTTTATGCTGTTTAGGATTCAAAGACTGCCAGGCAAACTCTGTACAAACTTAGGACCGAGCTACAAAAATCACCACTCCGAAAAGTTCCTGTCTTACAAAGCAATGGCTGCTACCCCTCTTTTTGCTTTTAGCAAGATCTTGACTGCTTACACGAAGCTCAATAAGGAGCATCACCAGGATGCTGCACATCCCCGTTGGGTGGCAGCAAAGGTCAACGTGTCGGGCGGCTGAGGGGTGGTGGCACATCTCAGCTAGGAACAGGGCGAGACACCTTTTCGGGACAGGCCGAGGCAAGGGTGACAGCGGGGTGACAGCAGCGAAGGCTGCGTGGCAGGTCACATTATTTTCCACCTGCAAGCGTGGGAAACTGTAGTTCTCATGGTCTCTCATCAGCGTCTCATCAGCGTTACGGACTCTCACTCGTGGATTTTGGTACTATCGGCATAGTCGATGCTCACTTTTCACTGTAATTCTGAGGCTCTTTGATGGTGCAGACCTGCAGCCAGGAGCACTGGATGCCCTCTGTCCCAGATGCCACAATGTCTCATGTCACATAAGAAATCTTTGGCTCAGCCCCAAGCTCCCATTCCTTTCCAGTCAAACAGAAAATGCTCAAAGAGATTTCCTTGTAAGTGGCAATTCAGCACATGGTAAGATCTGAAAAGACTGATGTGGCAGCCAACGCTGAACCGTAAGGGTTGTGCCCAGCCTCGGGGGACAGAGGGGCCGAGGAAAGGGAAGGCCTGGATAAGCAATGAAGCAGAAAGGGAATGTCCATCAGCTGAGGCGCACGTGGAAGCCACAGAGGAGAAAGCCTGGAACAAAGGATTTTCCATATTTTGTCATCCCCAAACTTGGCGTTCCTTTGGTGAAAGCAACATCCTCTCCACACGCCCGAAACATCAACAAACAGCAATGGAGACCAACAGAGGAATCTGAGCAGTTAAAGCCCAGGCACCAGGGAAAAGATCATCCTGGCTGCACTGGTCAAGCTGACTGAATAGGCACAGCCTAAAAACCTTCACCTCCTCATGGGATTACAGCCCAAGCAACACCACACCTTGCAAAAGGGTAAGTCCAAGTTATTATTACAACTGATAATGAGTGGAGAGTCATTCCTTTTGCCACTAAAGGGCCTGACATTTGTTTGCTGGATAATGGGCCAAGAAAGCCTCAAATACAGGCTGGG